CACACCTCTGTGAAAATGGATGAAAACGATAGTGTGGACGCGAAATGTTTTCAAACTAATTTATCCGGGCTAGTGTAGACGTAGCCTAAATCATTTAAAAATCAACCGGTTTTTCTCACTTCCTGTCAGATAAATCCTGCTCCACAGGGACCTTAAAACTAAGGAGCCAAAATGGCTTCTTTCAAACAAGATGAACTTAGGACCAAGGCCCAGGCTCAGATGAAGGAGGATTATTTGGAGTCATGCTGAGCTGCTCTAGAAAGCCCAAAAATGAGGACATGAAGGTGGAAGTGAGGAGAACAGTTCTGATGAGTTGTGTCTTTGATACTGTTGGCTGTAACCCCAGAGACATTAATTCAGTCACGGTTGCGATGTCATCAACATTACTGAACTTTTTAAACTGGAAGTTTATTAATAAATCCTCAGTGTGTTGATCCTATTTACATGTTAAGACTGAAAGCTTTTTAAAACAGTTTTGTTTTTCGTAGTCACGACGGAACGGACAAACTTTTATTAAAATCTTTGCTGGGTTAGGATGATGATCCTAAATCTGCCTCTTAGTCTTTTGTAAATAAATGATAAGTAACGATTTTACCTCAGTCATGACTGTAGAAATCTTATAAGCAGTCTTCCCTCTGAGCTTCACTCAAACTCATTAAATCTCATCAACGATTAAAATCAATATGAACACGATGGTTATTAAATGCTGTTAGTGTTGAATGTGTGCATTAGTACACAGTGTGTGCAGGCTGTGGTGTACAGCAGCATAAATACTGCAGTATGTTGTAGTACCGTCACAGAGCTGCAGAGGATTTTACATAATTAAACATGAACTCGGCGCGCCTGAAGGCGCAGAGGGTGAATCTGCTTTATTCTCACATCTTCAGCTGTGTTAATGAAAATCACTCATCCGAGCTCACATATTAGCCCGGCTCGGCTCGGCCCGATCCGGCTCGGCCCACTGTGAAGCTGCGCGCATCGTGACAGGCACCCTTAGCACAGCGGGCGTACAGCCGTGCCGGACCGAGCCGGGTAGGGTCAGACCGGGTCAGAACAGACTTCCACTGTCATGAAAAGACCAGGTTCTTTGGCCGCCTCTTACCCCAGCTGCCAGCGGTTCGGCCCAGAAACTCCCCGGTGCGCGGGTTGTAGATGCAATCCTTCCAGGAATCCTGCTTCTCCTCCTCCTTCTTCTCCCTTTTCGCTTCATTCGCCTCTTTCTTGTCCTCCTTCTTTTCCTGTTTCTCCTCCTTTTTCTCTTCTTTCTCCTCCGCCTTCACCTCCTCCTTCGCATTATCCTGGTTCTGATCTTGGTTCGGTTCCTGGGTCTGATCCTGGTTCAGTTCCTGAGTCTGATCCTGGTTTGGTTCCTGGTTCGGTTCCTGGGTCTGGACCTGCGGACTGGACGACATACCGATGCCGGACTAAACCGATCTGGGCTAATCAAGGCTAAACACCAACAGCTGGGATAAACCGATCCGTCGGATCTACGTGAGGAGCCCTGTACGCGCACGCGCAATCACACACACACACAAGCACATAGGGACTGCTGCAGAACGAGACGCATGCGCAGCACAGAGCATGTGTGAGGGCTGAGGGTCTCCAGTGATAAAGACGATGATGATGATGATGA